CTAGCATCTCAGCATTTTGGTAATACTTTGCATCTATAAAATAATTTTTTTCTATGCAAGTGATACCTACCGAAATTTTGCACATTTCATCGCACGAATTTTGGAATGCATACTAATAAACCTTCCTTCTTGCACTCGTTCAATTATTCACTAATGTTGCATGAAGTGCAAATATTTTGAATATTGCACGAGAATCAAACTCGTAATTCACCCTTTCCCGGGCCGTGTGCTAACCTATGGCACTATCGACGCTCCTGCTCTACTGTCACTCTTCCTGCGACACAAGGCATCGATGTGTCAGCACGAACCGTTAACGGTTTGACCTGACATGCACATATCGGCTTGAACCCTGTTGCGCTGAGACATATTGGATGTATGTACATTCAATCAGAATATTTTAGATTCAAACGAGTTTAGACTAAAAAGTCCTGATTGTTTGTCTTTTGATGCTTCGAAAAATCTTGGATGCGATGATACTCCGCTATCACAAATTGAGGTGTATTTGTGGTGGAATTTTCAATTACCTCCCTCCATCATGATCGTCGCCCATTCGATTGACCGTGTCGACTTCGGTGCAAGTTTTGTTTCTGAACTGGACAGTGTGTTCACATGTAGCTATAGCTAGTTTATTTGTGGATTATATGAACGTATCTGTTTATTTCAATCGTTCCTCCATACTTTTATAATTTTTATAGCAAGAAATTTGTGGAAGTGAGAATTATTGGTTTCTTCAGTTGTTATCATTCCCGACATCATTCACAGATGAGCTTATAACCTGACATATTGAACAAGCAATGTCTTAACTGACCCCGAACAAGAAAGAGTTAATCCGCAGATGATGGTCATGACGTCTATGATGACGACGACGACGAAGACAACAACAACAACAACAGTTCGGTAATAAGCAGTCTGGAGAACAATACTAATGCTGCTCATCGTTGATGTCCAACCAATTATTGCTTGGCTGCAATTGCAAATAACAAAAAGACATAACTTTTGATTTCTTATTTTCAATTATAAAAACGTTCTTGAAGTCAACAAACACAGTATGTTTTTTCCACTGTTGTCTAAACTCAGCGAAAGCCATGAGGAAAACCTTGAACAACTTAGTGAATTAGTGACTTTACAAGAATCTCATCTACCTCAACGTAATCAACGCACTACAATCCTATCGTAGAAGAAATTTTGTTCCGTAAGTTAATCGAGCCCTTCGAAATTGAATCCTTTTTTCCTCGTCTTTTCTATTTCTCCAATGACATTTCATTTTTTTCTTTTGCTACTTTGGTACTTCTTCTTTACTCGGGGATTGTATCTTTTAAATTGAGAAGTTTTGGCAGTGAAAATATCTTCCCTACAATCTTTTATTAGATACTAATAATATACGGGCTTTGTGCAAAATGAATATGTGTTAGAATAACAAACAAAGAATGCAAAAGAGTTGCAAAACGTGGTGGCTTAATATTATTGCACTTCGGTTTAACAGTAAGGATTCACATCTTGGTGGATCCTCTTCGACATCTCAACACATGGTTGAGAGGAAACTTTTAGTTTTTATTGATTTGCTAGAAATTCCTGTGGAGATCTCCACAGTGCTCTATATAAAATTCAACGAAATGGAATGAGAGAGAACACTATTTTGAGAAAAATAATCAACTTGTTGATATTGTAGCGGCAAATTTCATTGAATTAACCTTGGATTTCTCGTCTACCTATGGGTTTTCAATACTGTTCAATTAGACGACGAGAAATACATATTCGACCCTATTTGAGAAGAGGTTTTTCACAAGAGCAATAATAATTATTTTACTCACTAAAACTCTGGCTAGCGAGGTAAGTAGCCGTTCTCTGGCAAAGTCTTTATAATAAAGTTTCAGCAAGAGCAAAACCTTTGTATTTCACAGGGGAGTTCATCTTGCAAGACAGAGCTCTTTCTTTGGACTAATAGTAAACGTCTGATAGCGAAAGATTTAGAGAATGCAACGTTGTGTTTGTTTTCTGGAAATATGCATCTTTACAGCGCAAAAGGAAAAATAAGATCAAAGTTATATACTCGATGGCTATTCCAAAGGAGGGGAGGGGCGGAGGCAGGGGAGGTACGGTGATTTCAACACAGCCATCGATCGATTCGCCCTTTGGCGGATTTATGGAAGTGCGACTCTTGCCATCCATTTAGTAATTGTTTCTTTGATTCGAAAGAAATCCCAGATCAAACGTCTGGCTCTAATAGTAAAAGATTTTCTCTACACGATCATGCTCTTTTCGCGCTTCCAGCGAAATGACAATTGGACTATGTGGCCTCTTTCTCAGTTCTTTTTGAATTTGATAGCATTACGAAAAGATGCTTGAAAAACCAGCCGCGCACAGCGCTAGCCAGAGGTTTCAGCTTTCGAATGAGTGCTAACACTCTTACGAGAAATTCTTCTCCAGCGGATAGAGTCGAATATTCATTTGTCGCTCATTCGGAAGGAACCGAGTTTTCAACTGAAATAATGCTTATCAAAGTTTGAAGAAAATCTCACTGATAACACAGATGCTAACTTATCCACAGTAGTAAAATTTTCTACTGTGCGCAAGTAGGACGGTAATGATTCCGTTAAGACACGCATGGCTGAAGCTCGCTCTCGCACATGCCAATCAAGCAGAAACAAGGCGCTAACCGTATCTGGAATGGCTTCGCTTTCTTCAATTCACAAATGAGGGCGTATGATTGTTGTCAGGTTTGAGAACACTTCAGCATGGCCTTCTCAGGATTCTCGAAGAATCGTCTAGACCAGCAATCGACAACAATCTCGAGTTGGTCAAATCTTAACCAGCATCCCACCGTACGCGCAAACTCAAAACTTTAGTGGTTCTAAGTGAGAGGAAGCGAAAAGAATGCATGAGGAACAGATATTCATACAATATGTGAAGTCGGGTCATATGATAAGAGAGCTATTTGAAGGTGAAAATGTGACAGTATTTGGTGGACAAAAACTTAATAATGAAAGATGCCGTATTGCACATGATTTATGATCTGTATCACTTTTGTGAAATAAACAAATAGACTTACCAACGATTTTCCAGGTGATAGAGAGCATAGTTAACCACAGAGACATCTCACGAATGTGGTTACTGCTCGAGTTCTGAAAAAAATCAAGAAAAAAGTAAACATAAATTGGAAAAAAAGAAAAGCTTGCAACTTTATTTATATAAAAATATCGTTGTGTTTATTTAAGTCCTACCTCAAACACCCTTCTCTTGTAACCCGGGCAGAGGCTTTTCCACGATCAAGAAAAAATGAGTATGTGATCAAGCTCGGGAGAGAGTCGAACCAACAACGTCGCAGATATTACGATGGATCTATAATCATTGTACTTTCTATTTTACTAAAAAGAATAGAAGGCACAAGGAAGTGCTAAGTGAATTTATATTGTTCATCAACCAGTTGTTGTACAATCGAAACTAGCGCAAGATGATTATTTTTTTATGATTATAAAAATTAACAAATAATCATTAGGTGGAAGCCAGCTCCTTCAGATGGTATGACAGTATCCTTCTACAGTGCTTTTTCAGCATTACTTATCACACTTTGCTGTTATCAGATCAAGAAGTCACGCCTTCCCTGCTCTTATAAACGTTTTCATACTTAGATTATCACCTATATCAATCAGCCTATTAATGTTTCTATTCTATATGAATTCTCTTGAAGAATTTACTAATTGCACTGATTATTATTGATAGTGTATAGAGACTTTCAGCAACATTACTATGATAACCACGCAAAAATACTCATTCTGTATCGTAGTGGAGCGAGCAAAAAACAGTGGACTGCGATTATGCACACTAAGCCATCATATTGAATCCTTGACATGAATGTTTTCCAAAAATTCGATGAAAGTTCGGTTCCACGCAAATTCTTAATGGTTGCATTTCCTCGCGATTTCACAAATCGCTCGCCGGAAAACAAAGTTCTGCTTCTATAAAGGTTATGGTCTCATTTCATGACTGTTCGTGCAAGATGAAGGAATATCATCCTATAATAATGGAGATTTTTGATCAATATAGATCTATTACTGCTGAAGAATGAATCTGCAAAACTGTCGAGAAGTTTATGAATTTTCTTTGTGCTTCTTCTCTTCCTACTTAGCCAAGCGCATTTCAATTCAGGCGGTTTCTTCTCCATAATTATTGTTCTTCCTGGCTTTGACAATATTAATATGCGAAAATCCCAGTTTATAATACAACATTTTTCTTTCATAGCTAACAAACACCCTTGAAAATCATGACTTGCATTCATTCACATATATAAATATGAGCATTGAAGCTGGAATTCAAAAGAAATTGAACGACGAACATGAGCGTCGCTGTGTGTTTTTAGGCTCTAAAGACTTGCGAATATGTGGCAAGATCAACTATTTCTTAAACGATATTTTATCAGCTGATTATTCTTAGAAATCCTTATCCCTCTGCATACTGAAAGTTTGCATCGGGAACCATTCTGAAAACAATTAGTTAGCTCGATCAATTTCAACCTGTACTGTGAACTGTGGGCTTTTTTATCATGTACTTATAGTGCTTTATCATGAATTTTAGGTGGTCGAAATAAGAGTGAAGAAAAGAACTTACAGTAATATATATATATATATATGAAATTCTTTTTATTTAACCGCTTTAAGCTGTGGTACGATGTTAAAAATATATCCAATGATGTAGGGTGATGCGCAAAAGCTTTGCATCGGGCAAGACTCGAACCCGCATTTCATTCTTCCCCGGAGCGCGTGCTCTAACTCGTTGCACTACTGACGCTCGTTTTCCTTACCACTATTTCTACGCTGCAAAGCATCTATCTGTCAGCAACTAACTCTACATCACTGGGTGTAATTATAACTTCATACCATCGGTAAAAGCGGTTTCAGTGTGACTGAGTTCAATGTCGATACCGACTACCTGGACGAAAGCGCTGAGGATTGATTGCTGACAGACAAATGCGTTGTAGCGTCGAAAGAGTTGCGGCAAAACGGGCGTCAGTAGTGCAACGGGTTAGAGTACGTGCTCCTGGAAAGAGTGAGATGCGGGTTTGAGTCCCGCCTGACGCGAAAGCTTTGCACATCACTCTACATCACTGGTATATATATATATATATATATATATATACATATGTATATATACATATATATAATAGTATAGATATGAAGACCAAAATGTAGACTTCATTATATCTTATACATTCAGAATAATTTCATCGTTCAGTACTATCGCAGACTACACAAGTAATACTTGGATATTTTGACGCTTCATCTTCTCCAGTTGTACAAGCCTCACAACAATTTCCATTCTTTGTTTATCTTGCGATAGTCGACCATGGCAGTAGTTTAAATCAAGCGTGGCTGCTGAGTCTTACACCGTGATCTGTAAAACTCCGGCAACTGCAAACACTGCTGGTTAAGGCTGCCTGCCAACATGCTTTAGGTGGCAGTCCACGAGGACCAGTGCACTGTCGTAGAATTCACTCTACATTACTTTTGTCCATCTGTAGTCTATTCTTCTTGCCACATGACCGACGCATCTGTGTTTCGCCATCGATGCATAATACTCTGGGTCACAAAGATGAGATGGCATTGTATGTGCTGACCAGTTTGAGAAGACAACGTTTAAGAGCTCTTGTAACTTGTTCGCAGTGTTTTTGACATGGTCAAAGTATCAGCCCGTATCTGTTGTATAGCAGGCACTGAGATGTTGAGTCGTAAAAGTTAGCACACAGTCTGGAGTCTAATATTTTGTCGGTGGGCTTCTCTGAGAGGCCCGAGTGAGGCACATGATATCCCTGTTCCTTCTATCTAATTTGTATATGACGTTCTCAATGCTGTTTCTTCAAATAAAAAACATTTTTACAAGTCATTTACCATATAATATCGTGTTAGGTTCTTCGAAAATCAATATAGCTTAGGAATCGCCCCTTAATACACTTGTTGTGAAGATCTAAGTACTGTGGACGGACGACTGGAGACCGTCTACTCGGATACTAGGCTCTAAAAAAGTTTAAAAACGCCGAGACGGTAGGCGACTCAACCTTGTTACCAACACTGCATTAATAAGTATGACGCTTGTAAATTTATTTTCATTGTGCATTTTTCGAAAGAAATTTTTGAAATACTCTGTTGTTATGAGCAAATACGATGCTTATTGGCGCAAATTTTCTCAGTCTTAAAGATATAGCGTATATTCTATTTATGACAAATTTTTCGAGGTTTGAATTTTACGATAAGCACCAATCTGAATCTTTTACACATGTACTCAGTTCAAATGGCTCAAAACATTGAAGCGGCATGGATCATAGCTTGAGTTGACAAATTTACTCCACGACATCCGTCCCAAAGATGTCTTCGTTTGAAGTGGAAAGCCTTAAACGACCCTATAACAAAAAGATCGATGCAAGATTTTGAGGGAATAAATACATGAATAATTGTTCGAGACCTTGAAAAGAGTCCATCGTATGCAGCACTTCACTTGCTTTGGAGAGCCTGAAAAAAATTTGATGGGTTAAAAAGCTTGATAAATTGATGAAATATTTTTGGCAACAAGTCCCACTGCCGACTCTACAAAGGGTGAATGAGTGAGACTACGGAACTCTACCTATACTATTAGATTTGCCAGGCCACTCACCTACAACGTTCCTCTTTTTCAAGAGTCTCAGTGGACTTTTGTGCGAGAAAGATATCAGAAAATTAGTCTGATTCTCGGCTGCCATTCACAACTCTATGGCCTCCACACCTCCGAGATAACACGAACAAATAGACTATTCTGTTGGCAGCAATATTAAGATTTCAAAATTTCTTATTTCAACAAGTAAATTCACTCTAAGCTGAGATCTGCCACTCCGTGGATAAGAATACTAAGTCTTGTAATAGTTACCAAAGATCCTAATAGCTTTTATTGATGATTCTCTAGGCATATCCCCCCTATTACGGATGTCAAATTAATGGTATCCATATCGTCCACATGTCGCAATATCGCTCGATTTTTGCAAAGGACATCGGACATCAGTAAAGAGGAGTCATGTGCGATTATTATTCGATGGAGAGCACTCTTGACTTGCTCGCGTCACATACTAATAAGGGATGCCGTCATGGAACACAAACCGACGCCAGCACGTCCACATTGCGCAATGTAATAAAGCCGATAAGATGATCAAGTGAATAGATATTAACAAAATTTTTCATTCAAGCCTTCAAGTTCGTGAATTCTAGGTTGCAGCTAGATATAATTGGAGAAATTCGATGGCGATGAGTAAAGCTGAGCGTGCCATCGTTTGGAATCAGCTGGCCGTATCGTCTTGAACTATTCGGGCTATTAATCACAGGATTTGGCGATATCTTTTGAGAATACAAGTCATATGGCACTGAATTTTTATTAGCAATTACTTTCAGGTCTATGGTGACGATATGAATAGTCCTTACCACGACTATACTTGCTCTTCATTGGTGACACTCAACCACAATTTTGAGGGTTTTTTTTAACAAGAATCGGTCTACTCGAGTGGGATAAAACACTTGCTGTTTCCATTTTTGATATTTTATCGCTCATAAGAAGAGTTGAGTCATAGTTCCGCAGCAAACCGCTTTGAATCCATCCATCTTTAGCCAATTCATGATTAATATTCGACAGCTTCTAGCGACGATATGACGTTACAAGTGTATATCCCAATGATTTTGAGTGAAATGTAAATTCTTTGAGCGTTAGACGTGGATCGAACCAGTATTTGACCCTGGCCGGAGCGCGTGCTAATCAGTCTCATCCCCGACGCCCCTGTCTTTCTATTGCTCCTTGTGCGATAATACATCAATCTGTCAGCAACCAACCGCCGACGTTTTGGCTTGGCAAGCACACATAGTAAAAGGAATTCTAGTTGATTATACTACATTTAACTGTGAGCGTGACTGTGTTCAATGCCGGTGTGTATTTGCCAGGTGTTCTCTTGATCTCTGATGGTGACAGATGATGCAGGGTATCGCACAAAGAGTAATGGTAGAATCATGAGTGTTACTTTAATACTCTTGATCATAAATCACGCTGATTCTCTTTGTGCCGGAAGTAGATATTCTACACTCTGGGTGATTTGAACTCGTAGACTCGTATCTGATACATTCTATGATTTGTTCAAATTACTTCCACAAAGAAGCACTCAAACAATCTGAAAAGTCTTTCTTCAGTGATTATAAACCATGATCATTACTTTTCTACCTTAATACTCTTTGTCTATACTTTACTTCCTTTTCTATGACTTCGTGAAAGCATTGCTGCATTATATATTTACGGATGCTGAGTGATAGTTTGGACTACCGACCCCTGGTGGGGCGTCGTACCCGTGTTTCAACCATACTGTGTGTGCGTCGCCACTACATCACAAAATCCACGTTATGCTACTAAATTACATAGCAACATACATATATCACATAGCTACATTATTATAAAGTTCTACAAGACACTGAAATAGGTTTTCTGGTTGAGTATGCCATCGTTACCCATGGTTAGAGATGCATGCATTTTCATCCATTTCAACCCAAGCTTTACTTCAACAGATATTCCGTTAATAAACAAGGTAATGCAAAACAGCAAGAGCCATTTGCAACTCTAACCATGAGAATTCATAGGCAGACTGCTTAGATGTGACGAAAAATTTGAGAAAATTTACAGATGGCTTGTCAACGCTTAAGCAGACAAGGAACTTATTAGTATTCTTACAAACTACTTGTCGTCTAGAATGCTTTACGTTACTTGCCTTTCCAACGCTCTCGTATCGGGAACTCGTTTACTGTGAGGGCTATAAGACCATTCATTGTTACCACAACACCACTCATGACTTGCTGGGCAGATACGGAGAAAGAACGTTATCAACCTTCTTTGTACAATCAAACTCTCCCTTATTGCAGTTATATCTGTTTTTCATATCTGTCTAAATAGACTTCCATATGTTTTTGGTACATAAATTACTTTTGTCCAAGAAGAAATAAAGGCTGTGCACATGTTTCACTGTAATATTCAAGATTTTCGATTAAGAAAAGTGCTGAAGAATGGGACATGTCAGAATCTTTATTTGAAGTGATTATTGATCAAAATGAGAGAATACACCATTTTGAAGTTTGTGCGCAAGGGTGATACTTGCACGCACCTACTGATATTAAAAAAATTTTCATAACTATGTGTATTATTTTTGAGGCGATTCGCTTTTATTATACCTATATGCAATATAAGGGGGCGCCTGGCCGAGTAGTTGCGATGTTGGTCGCGGCGCGCGCGGAGCCGAGCTCCACCTCCTTCTTCTCTCCGATGGTCAACAACAACGTCCCATGTGCGCCACAGCAAGGCTATCCTGAAGATTATATGGAGACTCGCTGAACCTGTATTTTACGTTGTTCAGGAAGAAGACGAAAAACTAATCGAATGCTAGAAGTACTGAGATCCGCACGGTGAAAAAACACTCAGATGATGGATCAAATAATTTGCTAAAAATGCTATGCAGTATATATATATATATATGCATACATATGCATATATACACTTATATATTAGCATACTAAAATCTTATGGACATGTATAGATATGTATTAAATGTACAGGAGCTGTTCTGTTGAATGATATGCAAGAGATCACACATGGTAGCGTTACTGAGAATCTGTCACAATTAGAGAAAGTGGAATATCCATCGATGCTTTTTTAAGTGGTTAATTCTTCTGCAAAGAGAATTTCTTCAGACCTCTTGTAATCAATCGATGCGTTATGAATTGTAGATGCAAAACGCTGATTGGCTTGAGATAAGCTGTTCTCAATAATGCTCCACATGATTATTTGCAACAAACGTAGCCATCAAAATAACAATATGATCTTTGTAGAAGCATTTCTTGAGCCAAATACCAATTAACTCTAACTTTTTTTGTGTAACCGCTATGCTCCATAGTTAACCTTTAGGAAATTATGGTCATTCCAAACAAAACTTCGTCGTTCTCTCAAAATCTGATAAGCACGTATAAGTATATCTACTCACATACGGCACTTACGCGCAACAAACACATGAAGACTGACATTTGAATTTATCTAT